ATATTCTGAATCTTAATGCAAATTATTTTGGGCTTAAACTCTGATAACATACAGAAAATTGCAAAATCTAAAATATTTAAGTTAAATATATCAACATAAGTTTAAAGAAGTAATTTATCCATCTTTTATAATAATTTATTGAGAATGCTAAGTTTAGGGTCAAGCTAATCTCACGAAGGATTAATGCTATATCCGGTAGTTTTATGATCAATCTCATAGATCTCGTCAGTAAGGGTGTGGCATATATCCTTTGAACATTTGGTTTTCTCTTTGAAGGGCACCACAAAAATCATTAAATTACAATTATGGTCATGGCTCTTTGATCAAGTGGGTTACCGCAAAATAAAATCATTAAATTACAATTATGGTCATAGTTTGAAGTTCTCCTATCGTCCAATCGCTTGAGCAGTGAACAATATAGTGGCTTGATGGGACACAAATATTCTTAAGCTAAAATTGACTTAAATTTTTTTTACAGGGCAGAAATTCATCTCAGGTTTTATAAGGTCCCATTGGAAGACACATCCCATGGCTGCTGATAAATATTATTAATTCAAATTTGGTCGATTATCTTCTTTAAATTAGTAAAACTATTGGCCACAACAATTTGGGATGATAAAACCATAAGATCTTATTGGAGTTTGTTGTTATTCCCCCACTATTCACTTTAATTTGTAGTGGCAAATTTTCTTAATCCAAAACAAAATCTGCTACCTCTCATCACTAAGTATCTAGTGCTAATGACTAGTATTAATCGAAAGTTTTCTCATCATCAGTAGGGGTAATTATTTATATAGGTTTGCATTTATGAGAAATTTGAAACCAGAATATATGGCCTTTGTATAATGAGGAATGGGTCTCTTAGTAGTGTTTTATAAAATCTAATTTGGCTTCTGCATTAACAAATTCTCTCTTAGAAGAGCTGGGTGCAAATTTTCAGAACGCACTAATTGTGAAAATTTGCATGTAAAAGATGGTTGACAAATTTGGTTTCTAATTTACGTTATTGACAACGGAGATTACTATGGTAATTCTAGATTCTTTTAGGCTATAGGGGGAACTCATTAGCTACTCATGAAAAACAGATGGAATGTGCATTATTCATGTCTTCTTTTAGCATTGGTTTATGCTATATGTGCTTGCAAAATAACAGTCTTTAAATTTGTGGTTTATTAGCTTGCTGGACTGTTGAATTCTCCACAATTAACTTAAACTTGATAGGAGAGTTGTTCTACTTTTAGACAAGCCTTTGTGTGTGCATACTCGCTCCATTTTACTCGCCCTTCTCTCCTGGTGCTCATGGAATGCTATCTACCAAATTCTCTATCTTGGCCCTTGTAACCCATTTATTTCAGAGGTATATTCTTTTCAAGCGTCGCGATTTTTTCTCACATCATATAATTCCTAACTTTGACATTTTCTTTTAATCAGCTTGACACGGGTGCGGAAGGGGCAGCAGACTGGGCCGATCGGTCCAGTTGAGGGTCGGTCCAGGGAGAACCCAGACTAAGCGACTTGGGGTGCGATTTCGATGGGGCTCTTCTCCTTCCTTTTTTGCTTCCCCTTTTTGTAGGAGTATTTATTTGTTGTTTTTAGAATTTTACGATTAGTTTTTTTTTCGTAGCTTCCAAATTTTATATTCCTGTGTGGAGTTGTTCTCCTTGTTCTAGGATTGTATCCAAGGAGGCGGTTGTGTTTCGGTTGTATCTTACTTCGAGGTGGTGTTGTATCTTCACTATTACCTTTACCTCATCTTTCTCCTCCCCTCTCCTTCGCCGCCATCAGCCGCCCCATACTTCATTTCAGCACCACGCTGCCCTTCCCTATAGCCGTCCAGTCACCCGGCCTGCACCCTACCACCCTGCAGCCCCTTCTCTGCAGCCTTCCTTCACTGTCCAGCCACCCGACCTGCACCCTAATACCCTGCAGCCCTTTTTATGCAGTCTATTCTTGTTGTACCATCCTCCAACCAGCACTCCAACCAACCTATTGGACTTCGTACCACTTCCTAACCGACCTTCCAGCCATGAACCCTTCCCCATACCCTCACTATATTGCCAATGCCACCCTCAGTTCCTCTTTTCCTGGCCCTAGCCAGAGATTGGTCTGTTGTTGTTTTTTTCCTTTTCAGTGTGTGGTGTTGTAACCCTATTTCTATATTAATAAGAGTTTCGTGTTCCGATAAATCCAGACTAGTTCTGGTATTATTTGGTGTCAGAGCTAGCCTTACCTAATTCCTATCATAGGGTTACCTAGCATTTGCCATAACCCAAATATTTTCTTTCCTACCATCAAATACCTTTTCCACTACCACAAACCCCTAACCCTAATTCTCCCTTGCTGATTTTCAAAGTTAGCAACCTTGAATCAATTATTTTTACTCTTTCACCTCTCAACTCTAAACCCTAGTCATGCCACTAAGGAGATACATGCCCGAACATACCCGGGAGGAGATGCAACGAGGGACTGTCAACTTCAGGGGAGACTTGCATAAATTGATGATGAAATTCAATATGAGGTTATCCTCGATCGTGATCTGGAGAGTCAAAGAGGAGAACGAGAAGATCCGAAGATGAAGTGGGAGGCACTACGACAGTTCCTACCAACTTACTACTAACAGAAGTTGTAGGCTCTAGCTTCAGAAGTGTAGAGACCACCCCACAAAGCGACCCCCTTGCCTACTATCCTGCGAAACCAATTCGCTAGTTTGTCACAGCCAGGAAATGTTGCAAGTGCAGCAAATTTGGGCATGTTAAAGCAGAATGCATAGCCAGAGAAGTGATCTACTTCGCTGAGAAAGACGTTGAAAAATTTGGTGAGGACACCGTAGATATTGAAGGTGGGGACACAGGAGGAAAACCCGCTTCCAGTTGAGAAGGACAAGATGTATTTAGTCCCATCTTAGCCTGTGGGAGAAACTCCCATCGATTTCATGGTGAGTGGCCAATGCAATTATGAGTCTTAGGAGCCGATATAGACACCGAGCCACCACAGAGAAGAGAAATGCAAATATTTCAGATTTATGGACTCCTTTATGAGTTGCTTTTGTTGAGGGAGGTCTAACAGGTCCAAAGAAGAGTCATTTTGTACCATATAGGGACTATTACGGGGAGTATTTCAGATGTTAGATTCAGCTCAAGTGGGTACCAATCAACAGATGCCCAGACAAAAGGGATGAACCTCAGCCTTGAAGTTTATCTTGATAGCTTGAGGGGGGAGAAAATTTTTCAATGGGATCCAATGCCTGCCACTAAAGATGATGTCTCTCCTAAATGATTTCTAGTGAGGGGGCACAACTTGGCCTGGATGTTATCCCATAATTGATTTCTCCTTATCTATTTGTTCATCAGCTACAGTCTGCTAGGTACAAAAAGTTGAAGGAGAAGGTTTCAAGCTTAAGGGCTTGAGAGTTATATTGCGGGAACCCACCTCTATATGCAGCTCCCGCTCAGGATGTCCCAAAAAGGACGGATACCGATTCCACCAGAATTTGTTGTGGAATGACAATACTGACATGATCGACTTACTAGTGGACTTGATGTCGTGCCAAGAGCAGCCAGAGCCTTCGACAAATGAGGCCTAAGCTCCCCCAAACCTCGGGAGATTGACGCGGGTGTGGGACATTCCCGCGCGGTCAGAGTAGCAAACTTGGCCGACCAATCCTGTTGAAGGCTGGTTTAGGGAGAACCCAGGCCAAGCGGCATAGGGCGCGATTTTGACGGGGTGGACTAGGGTTGTAAACGGGTCGATCTTGAGCGAGCTCAGGCTTGGCTCGTGTTCGGCGCATTCGAAATTGTTCGTGTTCAAAATCGGCTCGTGAACAGTGTGTTCGACTCAAAATTGGCTCGTTAAAATTAAACTGAAAAAATAGATGTAAAGTACTGGATTCGAACCCGGATCAAATATATACAAAGGTGCATAACCACATTACCACATTAGTAGTTACATTTTAAATTAAGATATAAATATATATAATATATTATTATATAAATAACTATATATTTTTTTTTCGAGCTAAAATGAACGAACACGAGTGAACAAAGAGTTATTCATGTTCGGCTCGTTTATAAATCAAGCTTTAAAAACTTGTTCGTGTTCAGCCAAACACGAGTTGTGCGCAAACAACGAGTTTTTTTTTACAATCCTAGGTGGGATTGCCTCCTGCCCCTTCTTTCTTTTCTGCTTCCCCTTCCTGTTGGAGTACTTGTTGTTTTTAATATTTTAGGGTTAGTTTTTTTGTTACTTCCAGATTTTAGATTCCTGTGTGGAGTTATTATCCGTATTTTAGGGCTGTATCCGAGGAGGTGGTTGTGCTTCTACTGTATCCTACTTCGAGGTGGCGTTTTTATCTTCTGTTTTACTCTTAACTAACCCTTCTACTCCCCTCTTATTTGTCGCAGGCTGCTCCATACTTCATTCCAACACCCTGCCACCCTTCCCTATGGCCTACCCTTGCTTTCCAGTCACCCAACCTGCACCCTACCACCCTGCCGCCCCTTCTCTGCAGCTTTCCCTCATTGTCCAGCCAACCGACCTGCACCCGAACACCCTACCGCTCCTTTTCTACAGCCTATTTTTGCTGTCCTACCCTCCAACCAGCACTCCAATCCACCTACCGGACTTCAAACCCCTTTCTAACCTACCTTGCAGTCACCGACCCTTCCTCAGACCTTCACTACGCTGCCGAAGCCATCCCCCTATATTAATAAGAGTTTGCTTTTGTGTTTTGATAAATCTGGACTAGTTTCAGTATCACAACTTCTTATATTTGAAACACTCAAAATTTTATTTCCTTTTTAAACATGAATGACCAATTTGTTTTAAAGTTTTGGGTGGTTGGAATTAAAAATTTTAAATTTGGGCGGTCAATCTATTATATTTAAAATTTTAAGTGGTTGATATTCTCATGGAGAAATTTATTTTTCTAAATATATGCTATTACATCGTAAAATGAAAGGCTGAATTTTTTCCATTTTATTCTTCTGGTTCTGTTCATCCAGAGCAAACAGAAGCGCAACAATCGAAAGAACAAGGAAAAGCAGAAGGATTTGAAGTCGGATTCAATCTTTATTGACAAAAAACAAGAAGAAAAGTCTCTGACTGAGATAACTTCCACAGAATTGTCTCTTAACCCCAGGAAGATATTGAACGAGAGAATTGACACACGAGAAGATGCTTCTGATCTTTCCTACAATGGTGATGATGCTGCCGAGCCGCTTTATCCCGATTTAGAGGATCAGGATAGAAGTCCCAGGAATTGGGATATGGATGAATCGGAAATTCATCCTTTCATGGAGGCAGGCGCAATCGAAACGTCAAATTCTCGACCAGAAAAGACTAACATAGGCTTGGATGATAGCTCTTCGACTTGTTCGACTGACTCAGTTCCACCAGTCCTCTCAAATGGATTTAATAAAGGAAACTCTGTGATCATCAAAAACATCCAAACTTCACCAAACAGGTAGGGCATTTACACACATAGCAACAATTCTAACGCATTTACATATCTCACTCATAAACTTTCACATTAACACACATAACACTCAAATCTTTCATATCACATCAAAATTAGCACTTTTACCTCTTTTTTGAAAGTGAAATACACCTTTTCATGCATGGGTTTAAACCACTGAAGTACTATGCATGTAAATATGAAAATTTAGGTGTGAGATATGTAAATACTTAAGAATTGTGTCCTACTTATGTAAATTTCTCTTTTAATTGTTACTTCTGTTTTTCAAAGTCTGGCATTTGTTTGACTGTTTAAGCAACTATTAAATAAATTGCGTAGGGCGAAAAACTATGGCAACAAACACTTGCAAAGCCATGTGTCTGTGGCAAGCCATTCAGGCGAAATCATTGAGAGCTCTCCATCCACTTGCCATGAGTTGGACGGAGACGAGGCTTCTCAGAAACGTCTGATACAGCGGCATGAAGGTCATCTGGTTGAAAAGGTGTGACATGTATTTTTTACATTTCTACTTTTTCTTTTGAAAGTAAATTTGAAAAGGTTTGTTTGGGATTAATTTAATTTTCTGCTTTAATCTTTAAAACCAGTTTTGTTTACTGATTTTTTTAATATATTTTTATATATGTTTCTAAAAAAGTTTAATATGTTTTTGATAACACTCAAAATAATTTTCAGGTATTTTAAAAAAAAATCATATCTTGATCAAATACATCAAGCATTGCTTTGTTTGTAAACAAAATAAAAATAAAAAAATAAATAGAAGTGATCCTAAGCACCGTTTTAATCGATAATTATCTTGGAACTGGTAAGGTCCTGAATTTGAATCCTTCTTCTTCGAATTTGTTCCTCGATGCTCACTGTTCTGAAAAAACAACTTCTGAAACTTGCTTTATTCTTTTGCGCTATTGCAGCAAGAACCCACAGCCATCATACTTCAGAAAACATCAAAAACTCAAAATGATGCAGAAAAACTCTCATCAGATATTCGACCGTTAGAATCCTCCTCTGCTTCACCAGAGCCTGTAAGAAAAACCCAATCAGTTCCACAGCAGCCAAAGCAACCAGTACAAAATAACGCAATCGCCGCCACCTCCATAACTTCATCAATAACTCTACCTGCTCCACTCAAAGAGCCCAAAAGATCTTCTGTTCCATCAGCAAAATCGCCATTATCTTCTTCCTCAAGATCCGAAGCTCAGAAACTTTATCCCGCTCCCGCAGCTAAAAACATCGCAGCTCAACCAGCAGCTCCGTTCTCAAGACCTTCCAGCGCCCCTCTAATGCCAGCAGCACCAAGGTTAACCATACCACTCATTTCTACTGCACAAGCCACACCCCACCTCTCTCGCTCCGCCAGCGCTACCACTCGATCCACCATGGATGCATCTCTATCTGCTCCGAGTAATGTACCTCAGTCATATCGCAACGCCATCATCGGAAAAACCACAATGGGTGGCAACCCAGCCGAGTTCACTCATTCCTCTTCAACCCCTCCGAGTCAGTCGTCCGCTTCGTCAAGCCAATCTATTTTTTCAACAAGTTCTGCTTTGTTTCCACCTCCATCAGCTTGAGCGGTTTTCGGGTTCTAGATCGGTATTAAGCTTTGGATCTGTTAGGCCGGAGGCATCGCACACCCACCCGCAATCCATCGCTGCCACGAACACCGAACTCTGCAACTCGAATCATCTAAGTGAACCGGTTTCAACCACTTCCTTGCATCAATCTCATGTTGGTGTGGTGGATGAGTTCCCTCACCTCGACATCATCAATGAATTGCTCGATGAGGAACAGAGTACAAGCAACCCGCACTACTACCCCCCTCTTCATCACCGGCGCCACTCCTTCAACGGCCGATACTCATTCTCCAGTGACTCGGCTTCCATCGACCTGAGTTTGTTGAGCCATAACCCGGGCAGATTCGATCAAACCGAGCAGTATTATGACATTGGCTTTTCTTCCATCCATGGTGGCTCATCTGATCGAGCTCTCGAAAGATTTCAGGATGGGCGTTTCGATCTTTCGACCGCATATGGTTTGATTCAGAGCCAGTGGCCTTATAATCCTGCAGATCTATCCGTCATAAATCTTTATCGGCGGTGATGATAATGGGAAGAGCGAGATACAGGTTTCTTACATGCTCTTATAGTGTAATATGGAGGTAGTCTGATTGATCAGAGGACTATGGGTTGATAGATTGGACCATTTTGTAAAGAATGATTTTACTTTTCTTTTGCTTTAGTTGCTGGCTCTCAGAATGCTAAAGGGTTTTCTAAATTGATTCCAGAAAGCAGTGGCTCTTCCTGCAAAATGTAAGTTTTTGGTGGTGGTGAGTGAATTTTATTCATGCAATAGTTAAAATCTTTTCTTTATAATTTTCTTTATTTCCAATCAGTTTTTCTATAAATTATTTCCCATTTGAAAGGTTTTTTTACTGATTATTTTAATCTTTGTTGTGGATTATTATGATGCTTTTGTGGTTAGAAGCATTTCATCAAACACTAATTTAGGGTTAGTTTGGTTGGTAGGATTTATTTTTTTATTATATTGATTTTAAACATAGTAAACTCTTTAAAAATTCTCTTAAATGGCTAATTCAGAGTATCAAAATTAATATATATATATATATATATATATATATATAAAGTAAATAAAAATGGTGATATTTTTGTAGTGATGTAAATGTTTTCAGTGGCATAAGTATGAAAAAAAAAATAAAGTTTAGGTGTTAGATATATAATCACATATAAGCACGTAATTATATGTATTTACATGTCACACCGTTCTAGTTTGATGTTTACAGTACTTAGGTGCTTTAAACTATGCATGAAAAAGCCTATGTCACTTTTAAAGTGATAAGAGTGCTAATTTGTATGTAAAATTAAAGAGTTGAGTGTTTTATGTGTAAATGTGAAAGTTTAGATGTGAGATATGTAAATAAATAAGAATTGTGTGCTCCATATGTAAATGATCCATATTTTAAATGTTGTCCATGTAAATCCCAACTTTTAGACCAATAGCCATTAATTAGCCAACAAATGGTGGGGGCCTAACACATGCTAGTTTATCCTATGTTAGGTCCATGGTGGTACTTTTCAATCACATTTCCAAAGTACTTATAAGCATTTCATTAAATTACAAATCTGCCGGTTCGTGCATGTATTAATTTGAAAGAATATAATAAAATCAATGCCCTACTACGCAAATAAAATCACTTGAAATAGTATAAAATTTTCAGGGTTGTTGTGTAAATTAAGAAATTGCAGCTTCAAAGTGGGATTGCTATATATTTTCTCTCTATTTTATGGTTAATATTCTCATACATTATTTATAAAATAAACCTGCTTTCTTGTACCTTTTTTTTGGTGGCCTCTACTTCCACCTTGGTTATAGCCTCGTTAAAAAAAATTATTGTTCGTGTTTAGCTCGTTAATATATCGAGTGCAAAAAAAATTTTCATATTCAACTAGTTTTTTGGCAAGCTGAACACGAGCCGTTTGCGAACAATGAATCGTTTTAACATCCCTAGCCACGACACCGTAGAATGTTAAGGGTTAGGACAAAATTTAAATCTTATTATTTATATTAACATATTCCTTTAAAAAAAATTAAATATATTTTTATTCTATTTTTAATTAATAATTTTAATTGATTATGAATTTTTTGTAATTTTAAGTCAATTAAAATACTACAAAATAATACATCAATTATACGTGTGTGTTATATATATATATATATATATATAT